GATTGAACCAGACGCCCCCGTTTGACGCGGCAGCAACAGTAAACGTACTCAAACGTTCAGTAAAAAATTAAAGATATTTTAGATAGAAATTATAATAACAAGAGCGCTGACGCATGCAGTGAGGGTATAGCCCGCTGGCAGGTCTCACACGTATGTACACACGTGCTTATTTAAGTACACATATTTTGTAACGGGGTTACACGTACCCTTGTATTTAAAGGGTGGTTCACGCGAGATGTTGTGACCATGCAAAGGTATGGATTACATAAGGCGGTGTAATGGTGTGGCTAAACCGTAACAAGAAGCTACTACGTGGCGAGACTGCCAGTAGTTATCCTAATTAAGTAGAAAAACCTAAGGTTTTAGATATATGCGGCTCTGCCGCAAAAAAAAGATAAACATAGTTTCAATTTCGAACAAAAGAGTACAACTGCCTTGGGTTAAGGTCTTGGGTACTCTTGGAGTCAGCAAATTTCGACCCGCTACACTCGCTTTGGTTCTGTTTGAGAACGTAAGGTCGGTGACCTTAGTAAGCTTCCTTTAAGCAAAGAGCCACGGCAGCCCCGCTGCACTAGGTAGCACTCGTGGTAAATCTAAGCCCGAGTCGTTGCGACTGATCCTCTGTGATGATGGAGGAATACGCCTATTTGCCCCATGGCATGCAAAATGGGCTTAATAAGCTGATGTCCCAGCTGAGCCCTAAGGGCGTGAAGCACCTCGTTGCACATGGGCCATAAGCGCACACCTAGCATCGTTTTCAAGTTATGAAAATGTTTTGTTAGATCACTTACAGCAGAAGCTGTCAGCGTCGAATACGTCCATGAAGCCACCGTCGACGACGGATGAATTTTTCCGACCCAAGCCGCTCATAGTGATCGTTAAGTCCTTCGAGGGTAAGGGTAGAGAGAATCTCTTGCTCTGGATAAGAGAGGCCGAGATGGCTATGGCATCAGCCATGCTTCAAAAAGAACAACAGCGCGTGGCGCTAGATATCTCTAAGCTCGAGGACCGAGCGCGAGAATGGGCACTAACGTGTGGTGCTTCGGTTGAAGCTGCGTTTCCCTTCTGAAAGGAGCTGAAAAGTCAGCTTCTGCGAATGTTCTCACCGCTTAACCAGGCATATCGCGTGAGATCGCGATTCCTTACCTCCCAACAGGGCAAGAAGGAGTTAGTGGACTTTGGTCAAGAGCCGAGAGCTTTCAATGCCGGGATAACAGCAGAACCTCCCCCCGATGCGGTCTCATTGACTGTCTTTATTAGGCCCTCCGCATTTTAGTGGCCCGAATGAAAGTCTTCCGTGTGCTTCCATCTTCTTTGACGAAGCGGTGTACGTGGTATTGAATGCTAAATTCAACTTTAAGTCGACACGACTTGGTTGGAATGCACACCATCAGGGCTCGTCGAGCGGGCCTGAGCCAATGGATCTCAGCTATGCTGAGAAGGGGGAGGGAGAGCTCCGAGCAACTGAGCAGCGTGAAAACACTCGATTGTGTTTTATCTGTGGAGACACCAGTCGCCTTCGGGCTGGTTATCCCCTACACAAGGCGCGCAAAGGTTGTCGAACCGTCGTCCCCCTTCTAACCAGTCTGGTTTGACGCGGGGAAACGAGACCACCCAGAAGGCATGGGGCGCCCTACTGGGAAAAAACTGATTTCTGTCGAGCCTCAAAGAGGTAGAGGGCAGCAGAGCCCAGCCCCGAAGAGCTTCATGCTTTTGAACATCGGATTGTGTGTGCAAGCCGGACTTGCTGGTCGTAAAAGCAACCGTAAAGGGCTTTGAGAAGCCAGGGAAATCTTTATCGATTCTGATGCGCCGGGCAATTATGCTCGACGCTCCACGATCGAGGAAAGTCAGCTGTATACCGAGGCGTTGGAAGCGCGGTTGAGTGACACCATCACTGTTCACTTAGTGACGGGGACTTGTGTCACTATGCCGAGGGTCCCTGTGGACCTAGGTGTCAAGCTCCTTGACTCTGATAGCGTGAAACACTGTCTAGTCTTAGACTTGAAAGCAAGGTAAGACATTATCCTTGGTATGGCATGGTTGGAACACCATGATCCATGGGTCGATAGGAGATCGAAGACCTTAGGCACTACGCGCACGTCTCCTAGTGGATCTTCGGTGAGTCATGAACCCACCTCTGCTAGGAAGCAGAAGCGCTATTGGCACGGGCACTGGACCGGGACGGTCAAAGTGCTGATGATCGGAGTATTCGAGTTGTAGAACACCGAAGGTCTATCGGATAAGAGTCCCGAGCATGGCTCGTGGGATGAACGTAGAATGGCACATAATCCACTGAGCACTGGTCGCGTTTCGCAGCAGTTGCTGCATGCCAAGAGTGGCATGGTTGGACGAGGTCCAAGGCATCTTGATCAAGACTCTTCTAATGCGCGTGAATTGGCAGGTTATCCACTCAACGAAGACCGCGGAAGTAGCAGCTCTTCGTTAGATGATGTTAATAACATTACGGCTTCAATGGAGCAGGGAGTAAGGACACTGGACGACGCCGAGTGCGTGTTCCCACTAGTCTCGACAAGACGTAAAATCTCTATAGAGAGGAGACGGTGAAGCCGTATGTTATCTGCAAGATGCAGGGCGTCGACCCTGACCCAGGGTAAGTTTACCGTAAACGTTAGCGCACAGCTATATACCCTTGTCATCGTCGTAACTTCTGGATGAAGCTGTTCTGGAGGACACCAAGAGGGTGCGAAAAGCGCGACGTGGATCGTTGATCCTGTAAAATCCCGCGGATCCGTACTATTGGTAAATGAATTTCAAGACGTCGTCTCTAATGACCCGCCGTCGGTCCTACCTCCGGACCGAGGTGTGTGTCATGAGATCGACCTGGTTCCGGGAGCCAAATACTGCGTTACACGCTAATGGCCCCTGCCCAAGGAGCAGTGTGGCGTCAATGACGCCTTTTCCTTGCGAACACGTCGCAGGAATGGTGTGTGAGAGCAACTCTCACCATTCAACACCCACGTTCTGTGTCCGGAAGCCGGACGACAAGTGGCGTATCGCTCACGCTACCAACATTCCGGCACAGACGCCGAATCCTAGGAGGGATGTTTTCCAGAATAATATGGTTGGCTGTACAAAGCGCAGCGCACTCGAGTTGGTCGATCGTTATTACCATTGCTCATGAGAGCGAGAGAAATTCCGCTGACAGCGGTAAATACTCCGAGCGGGATGCTCTGGGAGTGACCGGTGATGTTCCAAAGGCTGTCAAAGGCACCAGCATCATTTAATCGTCTTGTGACGCAGTTGTTCAGGCCCAACCGAGCGTATGCACAAACATACTTCGACGACATCTTCGTCTACAATCGTGCGGGGCACGGGAGGACAGATGAGAAAAACCACATCGTCCAGCTGAGAGAGGTGCTCGAGTGCGTGCGCACGAATAAGCTGTATGCTAATGCAGAAAAGTGCATCTTCGGCGCGGAAGAAATTCCCTTTTAGAGTGCTTCATTTCGAAGCGTAGCCTTCGAGCGGACCCCGCTAAGATCAAGGCCATTGTGGACTGGCCGGCCTATAAAGAAATAAAAGGACTTGGGTAAGTGGCTTGGTCTCGTCAACTACTTGCGCAAGTATAGCGCAAATTATGCGAAAACAGCACGGCCATTGTTGATTGCCCTTGAGAAGGATACGAAATGGTGTTGGAACACCGATGATCGGGTTGCTTTTGACAGGGTACCAATACTGGCGTTGCCAGACT